GTGAATTCGTACATTAGAATTTGTTTCTTATGAATTATTGGCTGGTAAACTATTTACGAAAACGCTTCTATTTGCAAACGTAAATTCAAAATTGGATTATTTATTCATGTTATGGTCAACAGGTAAAATATTCACCCCAATGGCAGTATATTTATTCTAGAAAAATTAACATAACTACTCTTGAAATTGCGTTTTTTTTTTTTTTTTAACGGGAAACATTGAAGTCTAATACATTGTAGCATCCGTTAAAGATGCGACACATGCTCCGCATGGGCTCATTCCATCCGTAGTTGATTCGTGAGAGGCGGTTTTTCAGGAAAGCATGCGATCGTAGATTACGGTGGCGGGTATTGATATCGATACTACTCAGCAGTTTAGAACAGTCAATGTTTCCCTGAAGAAGATCACAGAAGAAGCTCCAAGTTGATAAGCATACAACGACTTTCATAGCTAGGCAGATTTCTAGGGTCATTCCAGCGAAAATTAACTTCCGTTGAATAGCTCCAAAATAGTCGCACCAACTAACAGTATAGTTGTGAAGAAGCTTTGGATACTACGTATGCAAAATGATGCTTGAAGCTGAGCTTAGAGTCGATCAGTATTCCCAGATCCTTGATAGTTGATTCACGTTTCAAAGCTATGCCCGTCAGGGTGTATTCATGATGAAGAAGCGAACGCTTGTGGCCAAAGGAAAGCAATTGCTTTGTCAATCTAGGAGAATATGTTATATTGAGGTATTTTTAAGGAGTAGCAAGTTATAACGAAAAAAATGTCGCCGTATGAACAAATTTCACACAGTATGAATAATTACGCTTTAATTGATAGGCAATAAAACACTTTCATACATCTATGTATAATTAAATAATATGTGACTGGTTATTGCTCAACAGTTGTAACAGTTTTTTACTAAATAGATAATCTTTGAATGACTCTTTAATGCATGGTGCTAATGCAGACAAATTAAAAATATCCCTATATTTTAGTATTCATATGGCGCACTTAATTTATGCTCCTATTTGGTATAATAATCACCATAAATATTGCACGGCATGCTGTGAAGCATTTACAGATTGGTTTAAAATTATAACAACTGTCTTATTTTCAATGTACAATAATATCAGCAATTATTACCAACTGACAAGGATCATGATTTCACATCAAACATCGAAAGAATAAAACCACAATAAAATATTTCTCAATATTAACTATCATCCAAAAACCCCAACTTAAAACCTTCAAAGTTGTCAAAATGTTTTGCGTATCATGTTTTATCAACTTCTTCAGGAGCGATTTATGCGGTTGTAATATAGTTTTATGGTAGTCATTAGAAGGCTGTTAAAACTTTCTGACCTGGAGGAGGTTTTATGTTTTCATTTTTCACAATCACGTCTAGAGTGTGATAAAACTGACATAAATCCTATGCTCCTAAAGTAGTTCGCATATCAAGTTTTAATGACTGCATTAAAACTGGGCCAATTGGCCATGAGATTGTTAAAGCAATGTGGTCGTCAGTGAAGGTTTTATAATTTGGTTATATCAACTGCTATAAAACTTAAATAAAACAAAAATTGTTGCTTGGGAATGCATTTCGAGACATTCAGTGACATGCTATTAATACGACACCACTTAGCGAAGACTTCCAATTTCTAATGCAAGAAAATGGCATCCCTAGGTTCTTTTATCACGAAGTAGAGTTTCAGGTCGTTCGCATACGATAGGTTGGTATTGACGTCATTCATGTACAGCCGAAACAAAAATGGCCCAAGATGGCTACCTTGGGGAACGCCGGATGTCACGGAGAAGGATGACGAAACATAGTCTCCAATCTTGACAGGCATGTTTTGACTAGGTAAAAGTAGAGTTAAAGGGTGTCCACGATGAAATTGCCACACTATTAAATTGCTCTAACTTTTTAACCGTTGGGTAGAATTTAATAAAAATTTTGGTGGATTTAGTTCATAGTGCATTATTTACATCCTGCAAGTTTTAAAGTCCTGTGATCAAAACTCGCGGAAATGGAGTCGAAAGAACAGCTCGTGCGTGATAAAATCTTGCGCATTCATCACGAGAACAAGGATCTCTCGCATCGTTCCATCGCTAAAACGTTGGGAATCGCGAATTCCACGGTGTCGCGAGTGATTAAGCGGTTCGAGGAACGGTTGACCACCGATCGGAAGCCCAGAAGTGAAGGAAAAAGTATTCCGTACAACACCAAAAATCACAACCGCGTAGTTGGGGCCTTCAACAGAAATCCGAACGCCTCCGTTAGGGATGTGGCTAAGAAGCTGCACCTAAGCCGAAGTTTTGTCCAGAAGGCCAAAACTAAGGCTGGGCTTCGAACGTTCAAGGTACAAAAGGCCCCTAATCGCGACGAGAAGCAGAACAAGTCCGCCAAAACCCGTGCCAGGAAGTTGTACCTCAACATGCTGACGAAAGTTGAATGCTGCATCATGGACGACGAAACATATGTGAAGGCCGACTTCAAACAGATCCCCGGCAACCTGTTTTTCACGGCCAAGGTAAGTTCAGCGTTCCGGAGCATGTCCGCACTCAGAAGATGTCCAAATTTGCGAAGAAATTCCTGGTTTGGCAAGCCATCTGCACGTGCGGGAAACGGAGTGCACCTTTCGTGACCCAGGACACGATGAACGAACAGGTGTACATAAAAGAGTGCCTCCAGAAGCGGCTGCTTCCTCTCCTGAAGGCCCACAACGTCCCAACAATCTTCTGGCCGGATTTGGCCTCATGCCACTACTCCAAGGACGTGCTGAAGTGGTATGCGGACAATAAGGTCAATTTCGTGCCGAAAATGTTCAACCCTCCCAACACTCCGGAGCTCCGCCCCATCGAGAAGTACTGGGCGATTATGAAGCAGCACCTTCTTAAACGACCTAAGGTAGTGAAGACAGTCGAGGAACTGAAGAAAGTATGGGTTTACATGCAAAAAACGGTTGATTCACAGGTTGTGCAGAATCTTATGGCCGGGGTTAAGGCCAAGGTGCGGGCATTCGCGTATGGACTGTAAATAAAATACGAGTAAAATGGTAAAATGAAGTTTAATGGTTATTTCTCAATCCCTGAAAATTTGATGGCAATCGGATGAAAACTCGAATTTTGCGAATCAATTTTGTGTGTGGCAATTTCATCGTGGACACCCTTTAAGTAAGCAGGTCGTCGTGAACACCTATCCTGTGTTATTTATATAGCCAACGCAATGTCATGGCTGATTTTGTCAAATGCTGCGAAGAGGTCTGTGTACATCTACTTGATGGCCACGTTTTACTTCACGAATGATGAACGAAGTGAACGTAACTAAATTGGTCGTCGTGGAACGCTTACGCATGAAGCCATGCTGGTCCGTCGAGATACAGTGTACAAAACTTAGAACCAATTTTTCGAGTAAAATCACCTCAAAAAGTTCGGAGGTTGCACTTAACGAAGCTATTCCACGGTAGTTTGAAACAGTCCTTTTGCAGCCATCCTTGTGGATGGTAACACGAAACACTCTTTCCAGCAAGCTGGGAAAACCCCAGACATCAAGGAGAGATTCAAAACGTTGGCTAGAGGTGTCGCGAAAGCAGTCAGGCAGCGTTTGAGGACTAACGTAAACAATGTTGTCAGCATTTTACTGTTTACTTATGTTTACTGGGTTTTTACTCGTACTTTACAACCATAGAAATTGTACACTGAAATTTACATCACTTGGCTGCTGGAAGAATTACTTTTTAATTTTGCTTATAGTTTTTACATTTGACAGCTCACGTGTGTTGGATATCATGGAATGCAATAAATATCGAAAATTAAGAGTGGATGTGACAAAAAAAAACCTATTATTCAATAGTTAAGCCTTCATACAATAGACTGTCCTTCTTACCCTCACTCTCTGTTACTCCGAATACCGTTATGCTGTGTTAATACAGTTGTCTTAATCACCTTTAATGCAAGGAACCTTTTTTTTTCCCTTTATTATAGAGATTTTTAGCCATAGGCTAGTTCATCTCTTAATGCAAGGAACCGAGTTAAATAGTTAAGCCCTCTGAAGTGTGAAAACACCCTTTGTCAATTAAAAACAGAGCCCTTGGTGACAACATCAAACAGTGACAATGATATGCTTCAAAGTCCTTGTCTCAACCACTTCAAACATCAAGAAGAACGAGTCACATAGAAGACTAACCCATTTTTCCTTGTTTAAAGATCATACTCGATGGGCAAGCCGAGTCTTGTCACTATCAACATGGTATGAAACGTAGTAAGGACTAAGATATGTTCCTTTGATTACTGAAAAATCTAAATGTCTAGTTTGAATCAGTTAGGACAAGGGATCGGTGGTACATCTGAAGCCGTAACGCACCACGAAAAGGTGATCTATCCGCTTTACGAGGCTACAAAATGCTGTATTTATTGACGATAAATAATAAACACTCCTTTAGGTGTCCGTCTTACCCTGGTTTCTCCTGGGTAATTTTAATTAATTTTGGTATCCATGACAGATACGTATTTTCATTTTTATATCTGTGATCTTGACTTTTATACCTAGGGGATGAGTACTTAAGGGGGTTAGATTTTGAATAGTTCTTTAGTGGGATTGACACTGATGAAGACTGCACATTGTAGTCAAAATACGTATCTGTCATGGATACCAAAATGAATTAAGTGGAATTAAATGGAAGATAACCTTTTTTGCTGTTTTATACAACTTTCTTTTCCATAGACTACTGTTCATAGTGTTTACGTTGGGATTCGCTACTGTTGGATTTAGGTGTGAACATTTGGTTCAACACTGGTAATTTTAGCATATTCCCGATTTTTTCAAACACAATTGCCTTTCCATTATCTCTGTCCATCATTTCTCCAATGCTATTTGTATTTTATGGTGTATTTTTCATCAGTTAACGATTTAATTCATATTGTTATTATCTTAGGGTGAAGGATTCGCTGTGTTACCAAAGCAATTTCCAATTAGATTTCAGAACGATGAATGCCCAAACAACAATATGGAAGTATGCTGTTCGCTGGATTCAATCAACAATAATGAAATAAAACCCCTTCCTGCCGATAAAATCAATAAATGTGGTGTTCGAAACAAAGAAGGAGTTGGTGTAAAAATAGTAGGAAATGAGCTAGGAGAAGCACAGTATGGTAAGCATATGCTAGTTTTACATTGTTATTACAACAGGGATTAAAAAAAAATCATGGCTTCGCATAATTAACGTGCACTAGTAGGGGAAATGGCTCTTATGATTGGGCCCATCGCCAAAAATCTGCTATTTATCAATTTTATCTAGATGAATGCGTAATTGGGATGGTACTAATGGATATTTTTGGTTGCTATTGAAAGTTTAGTCGATTGCTGAATTTATGTATGGGCCCAAATTAGGGACACTTAGGCCGACATTACATACATTTCTCCTATATCTGGAAAACAGTGGAAGAAAAGAGTCGAAATAAGCGATGTTTTGGGAATTGTCATATTATTAAAGGAATCTGTACCACCCGTCCATTTCAAACATTAAGGTGATCGAGAGGCGGTCCGAAATGGCGGATTAATAAAATTTCATGTACATCGGGGATTCGCCAAAAGTTATAAAATATGTTTGTACAACATTCAAAAATTGTTGAAAATCTTAGAAAAAAGTGATACTAAAAATTAATGTTATCAAAGGCCTTTCACAAACAACGGTATAGGGAAATGGCTTCAATGTTGGCCTGTGGATCTAAGATTGGGCCCATCGATAAAAACCTGCTATTTATCCATTTTAGGTAGATTAAAGCGTCATTGGGACTAATTAAATAATGGATATCCTCCTACGCTAAAGATATTTCACCAACAAATGTTCACTCGCTTGATGCAAAATGCCCAATATACGTAGGAAATATCTCAGATAACTTTAAAACTTCTGTGCAACTGCTAAAATTTCCGTAATCTATACAATTTTGATTGTTAATTTGCATGTTTATAAATGGGTGGCAACTATGATATTTTTTCATAGTTCTGACCATGTTGATCAATAGCTGCATTTAATGAGATCAAAGTGTTGTACATTCATTTCTGTATTTTCGGGATTTTTTTTACCGCTATTTTTCTTGTGATCAAAAAGCAACTTTTTTCAAACAATCACATAGAAAATCATCATCTTCTTCATTGGCTTTATTACGTCCTCACTGGTACTTTACGCCAATTCTCTCAACTTAGCGTTCTTTGAGCACTTTTACAGTAGTTAATTGAGAGCTTTCTCAGCCTTCATCATTTTATCATAAGTTTTATTTTGTGGCAAGAACAATTATTAGGACTGTATCGAAAACAAGTTGTAAACTAATCTTTCTTTCCAAATCCGTAAAAAAATATGTGTTAATACAAAATAGTTCTTCGATTATGAGTGTCATGTCCTTCTTTAAACCTTAATAACGAAAAACAAAGCCAACAATATTCCTTAGGAAACTGGTATCATGTTAGATTTGGTTATATATTTTATTTAATGATTTCAACCGACTAGTTTGATGTCCAAAAGACTAAAAGCTAACAAAAGTTGTCTTCGAAGAGAGTCGCGTGACATGTCAAAATCAAAAACTGAGGAAACTCGGTTGAACGTTCGTTGGAGGGTGGTTAGCAAGGACAAGCTCTTGAGATCCAGAGATATCCACACTTGCTCAACGGAATTCCATTATTCATTTTCGATAATAGAGGCCTTGAGCCCGTTACGTACTGCTACTATGACACTCCTACCGAAGCCTGCGGATTGGTATGATTTTTGCTACCTTCCGGACGCTTGGAAAGTAGTGCAGTTTCAAGCATCTGTTCAAGATAGCAGTTAGAAGAGATTACACTTTCATGCTGAGTCTCTTCAAGATCAAGTTGAATATATCGTCAAATTCGGGGTCCTTCATGTTCTTGGTGCATTTCAGCACTGAGAAAATCTGCTGTACTGTAATCATATCCACCGGAGGCACGACACAAGGAGAGGCATCTAGGGGTTTGAATTCATTGCGCAACCTGTATCCCACCAGTTGAGATGGTGGCAATCTTTACGCAGGCAGCTTCTAGCAGGCACCACGTTGACACCGACTTCAGTCACCACCGGTTGGTGGTCGAAGCTGAGATCGTTGTGCGCCTCCGGCTTGGATAGTCCATGATGTTTGGCAGGCAAAAGTCCACGGTGGAGAGATTTCCCGCCGGAGAGATGAAAATTGGTTCGTCTGGAAATTGCACAGTGTACAGTCCATGTTGTGCGTGGTCGAACATTAGACATCCGTTTCGGTTCCGCTGGTAGTTCCGCCAAGCTTCATAGCAGGCATTCAACGATGAATCGGGAGCTAGTACGGGTGATGGCGGTCAGGTCGTTCTTGAATTGACCACGCACAACATGGACTGTACACTGTGCACTTTCCGGACGAACCAATTCCTAGTCAGTTGCCTGCGGTATACTGGCGTGGGCAGTAAACAGCGATAAACCGGACGTTTCCAGTTGGTGATTCCACCTCCACACTAACGGCCTCGATGATAGATGTACGGATGTGGGGGAGAGTGCAGAACTTTATTCCCTTTCTGACGATGACAGGTACACCCCCCCCCCCCTGGAGCTGATGTGATCCAGCCGGATAATGTTGTGGTCAGGCAACCAGAAGCTGTCACTGGACTTTAGGTGGGACTCGGTTGGAAGACCCATGTCGATGCTATGCTTGCGGAGGAAGTCGACAAGCTCAATCTGTTTAGCTCTTACAGAGCAAGCGTTCCAGGTAGCGATGGTTAGTGGCTTAGGCACCATACTGGATGATAAACTTACCGAGCACTTGTATATGTTCGGGCTTATTGCGGCACTTACGTAGAGCACCGGTCATGTTGATGAAAATCTCCATCAGTTCATCCGCTAAGCACAGATCGGTATTATTTGTTTGAGCTGTTGGTTGTCTCCAGAATCCAGGGGGATAGAGATCTTTGTCCAGCAGAAGATCGAGACGTTTCTTGATGGGGGGACGGATCGCATCCGTGAATTCGCTTGTCCATGAAGAGGCAGAAAGTCCTCCGCCCTGAAAGCCGGAGCCTTATCCCTACTTCGTCCTGGTTGATTATTGGTGGACGCCTGTTTTCGGATGCGCCTGAAATCCTCGTGTTTAGGGCACTGCTTGTCGGATCCTTGGTGAGCACCACCACAGTTGGCGCATTTGAGCGGATGGGTTCCAGCGGGTTGAGCGTCACCGTTCCCTTCTGGAAGTGTACCAGGAAAAGGCAATCCGGATACGCCTTCACATTCTCGTCTCTTCTTGTCATCCGATAGACTGCACTTGGGGCCAGCTTGTTCTTCTTCTTCTTTTTCGCATTTTTAAGCTTATTGCTTAGCGCAAATTAGCTTATTGGGTGCTCTCAACTTAGTGTTCTAATGCACTTCCACAGTTATTAATTGAGAGCTTTCGATGCCAATACCAATGCATGAATTTTGTATATTGTGTGGCAAGCACAATGATACTCTATGCCCAGGGAAGTCAAGAAAATTTCCAAACCGAAAGATTCCCTCGACCGAACCGGGAATCGAACCCGCCGCCTCCGGCTTGGTAATACCGTGCCTTTGCTGACTAGGCTATGAGGTCCCTGCTGACTAGCCAGCTTGTATCGGTCTCTGATTTCAGCTTCTATAAACTTCGGGTCGAAGTTTGGTAGGCCCCCGATAACGACCAAGAAGGAATTCTTCACCCACGACATTCCCGGTGAGAAACCGTTCATCACCGGGAATGTCGTGGGTGAAGAATTCCTTCTTGGAAGTTCTCAGGTGGGTGACGACCATGTCATACTCCGCTTTGGTACACAGCAAAAAAATAATTTTGATATCACATCAAAGTGGATGCACTACAATCATGTCGAAAATTTCATGTAATTTTTATGACCACATAAATAAACAAATGCAGTAAAAGCAGCGTAATGTCAGTTCTTGCATTGTATTAATGATAATTTTGTCCGTTTTAGCAAGTAATATTACACCATATTTTCGACATGATTGTAGTGCATCCACTTTGACGTGATATCAAAATTATTTTTTTGCTGTGTACGGAGTACCACCTTGGTGCCGACTCGCCCAACTTGTATTCAGCGTCCAGCGTCGCTAGATCCGCGATGAGCTCATTAAGATGGGCATTTTTCACTACCAATGGAGGTAGCTTCACTTTTGCCGCACTCGAATCGGCAGAATTTTCGTTGTCGTTGTCGTTGTCGTTGTCGTAGTTAGCGGCGCCGGTGGTGTAATGGTAAGCGTGATTACCTCTCACCCCAGTGCTCAATTCCAGTCGGTGTGTTCTGAGAAATAACATCTCTGATCACGCCTTCCTTCGGAAGGGAAGTAAAACCGTTGGTCCCCGGCCCATGAGTTGATGGGTCGATAGGTAGGGTATGGGAGCTGCCTCCCTGGCATCGGTAACATTGGTGCTCATCACGGAAAACAAGATTGACAGAAACAAATCTCGCGTCACTTTTCAACTTTTCAACTCAACCACATCTTGTTCAATGCTCCACTGCCAACAACATTAGCTCTATCATTAATCATATTATGATGCAGTCCTCTCCCTCTGCCATACCGATGTTTACCGCATCAACTGCTACAACCGCTTTTTATAAAAGTCACAAATATTTACTAAACAGCTGGTTTATAAAGCATTAATTATAAACCAGCTGTTTTTTTCAGGTTTTTTAATGTTTTTTTAAATTTGCTGTTGAAATTGCATTAATCGAATCTAACATTGTTTTAATGGGAGATTTCAACATAAATCTCCTTAAACGTGATTTATCTTCTACTGCAGCATTAATAGATCAAGTAAATTTAATGCCATTTAAAATATTACCTACTTCTACTATTTGTTTCTCATCGATTATGTTACTAGGAATTGTATCAGAACGCTCATCAATCTTCTGCGGCGGGAATCAGCGATCATGATCTTATATATTTTGATTTTAGAACTAAACCCTCTAATCAAATCTCTGAAACGTATTACACAAGATAATTTCTTAAAATATATTTTGATAGCTTTGTCACAAATTTACAAAACTGTAATTTGAACCTAATTTATACCTGCTGTGGTGTTAAATCAAAGTTACAGGTATTGAACAATTTCATTCTTGATCCTGCTGCTCCTTGAATCAATTCCCAAGTGCACGTGCTTTTTAATAAACTATCAATCGGGAATAAATGGAAATTGATAAATCGAACATGGCTAACTGAAATATTTTCACTAGAATACGAAATAAAACAAATCATGTTATTAATCAAACTAAATTATCATTCAAAGTGTTTTTATGTTACTTCATACGCGAAGTTAACGATTTTCAGAGTTGGTTGGAAATGCTAACATGAAGCTTTAGTGTGATGATTTATTAGCTAGAGAATGATCTTTAGAAGAGGGTAGGTGGATAGTTCCGTTAGAGTACGGCAGTATGAGAATTGAATAGAAGTTGAAAATGAGCGAAGGGCCATTAATGCGACAGTTTTTCAAGATAGACGCACATTTTTGCCTAACCCGTACGATGTACGCACCACCCTACTGCTTTCTCTCTGAGATGATCACGTTGGTCATGACGAGAGGAGCACACAATAGTTGGGTAAAGAAGAACTGCATTATAACACACCATCGACTGGAAATGCTCTCGCAACGTGGGGCTTTAGGTAGTGATGAAAACGTCGCTAGAACTATTCCACAGCCGCAGTCAGTTTATGAGCAACAAGAGGGACGCACATTTTTGCCTGTGGACTTGGAGACATACTTCAAGTCCCCGCGTACATCGTACGGGTTAGGCAAAAATGTGCGTCTATCTTGAAAAACTGTCACATTAATGGCCCTTCGCTCATTTTCAACTTCTATTCAATTTTCATACTGCCGTACTCTAACGGAACTATCCACCTACCCTCTTCTAAAGATCATTCTCTAGCTAAATGAATCATCACACTAAAGCTTCATGTTAGCATTTCCAACCAACTCTAAATTATCATACTTTTCACAACAACTAAACCCTAACCATCCATCTACTAAATAAACTTTGGAAAATTTAAATCAACTGGAGCGGTGCAGGTGGTGTAGTGGTAAGCGTGACTGCCTCTCACTTCAAAGAGACTGGGTTCAATCCCATTCGGCAGCGTCGGGATTTTCTGAGGCATACAATCTCCGTTGGTCCCCAGTCCATGAGTTGATGGATCGATAGGTAGAGTCCAGATGTGAGTGCTTCCTCCCTGGCATCCGTAAGATCGACGGAAAACAAATCTATTTGTTATTTGTAGAACATAGGGGAAATGGATGTAATGTCGGCCTAAATGCTCCTAATTTGGGCCAATACATAAATTCAGCAATCGACTTAATTTTCAATAGCGACCAAAAATATCCATCCCTATCGTCCCAATGACGTGATCATCTAGATAAAATTGATGTAAAGCAGATGTTTAGCCATAGGCCCAATCTTAGATCCATAGGCCACAATTAGAGCCATTTCCCCTACCTCAGTTATTTTTGGTACTTTTTTTAAACAGTTTATTTGTTCCAAATTCAAAATAAATTTCATTTCATTTTAACCTAGGTGCTCCAGTTACTACAGTAACTTACCAGCCTTAATTGTTTTGATATATATCTAAGTGTTTAAACATTGTTCCTGCCTTGGCAATTCAGTATTTTAAACAGGTTTTTTAAACCTACATGTCAGTATAACAATTGAAATCTTAAAACTAAAAACTAAAACTAAATCTTATCTAAGTAATAAGGGAATTAATCGCTGCAATTGAGGATTGCAACGATTTTTGCCGGAAATTATTAATTATTTTGTTGGAAATTTGTTCTAAAGTCTCCTCTCAACATTCGAAATTCTATGTACTTCGGAAGTCCTGTACCAGGGAGGCGACTTCAAAATCATCTTCAGAACTTTGTGCTTTTTTCCTGGTAGTGCAACAACTAGACCATATTGGCACAGCGTAAAGCATGGTCGGTCTAAAAACTTGTTTAAATATTAGAAGTTTATTCATCAGCAAAAGTTTGGATTTCCTGTTTATAAGAGGATACAAACATTTTATATATTTGTTACATTTGGCTTGAATGTCCTCAATATGATCTTTAAAAGTTAAATTTTGGTCTATTACTAATCCACGATATTTCATTGGTTTGACCAGGAAATTGGAACTCCGTTCATAGTGACTATGTGACTACGACTAGGTTTCAAAAAGGAAGCTCTAGCCTTATGTGGAAATATTATATGTTGAGTTTTGGAAGCGTTGGTAGAAATCTTCCATTTTTGTAAATAAAAAGAGAAAATATCTAAACTTTGCTGCAGTCTGCTGCAAATAACACGAAGACTTTTTCCTTTAGCGGAAATGCCTGTGTCATCAGCGAACAAAGATTTGTGGCAACCCTGAGGCAAATCAGGCTGGTCCGAATTGAAAATGTTATACAATATAGGCCCAAGAATGCTACCCTGAGGAACTCCTGCTCTAACAGGTAGTCGATTAGATTTGGAATTTTGATAATTTACCTGCAGACTTCTGTTAGTTAAATAATTTTGAACTAATTTCATAATATAAAGTGGAAAATTAAACTTTTTCAATTTAGCAATCAATCCTTCATGCCAAACATTGTCGAATGCTTTTTCTATGTTTAGAAGAGCAACTCCAGTTGAGTAGCCTTCAGATTTGTTTGAACGAATTAAATTGGTAACTCTTAAGAGTTGATGAGTAGTTGAATGCCCATGGCGAAATCCAAACTGCTCATCTGCAAAAATTAAGTTCGTATTGATGTGAAGCATCATTCTATTTAAAATTATCTTTTCAATAAGTTTACTTATTGAAGAAAGCAAACTTTTTTTTTCATTATTAAAGAGACTTTGCGCCTGTAGCTGGTTCGTCCTTTAAGAAAACAAACTTATTGAACGGTAGCTAGAAGCTTCAACTGGATTTTTATCTGGCTTCAAAATTGGAACAACTTTTGCATTTTTCCATTTATCAGGAAAGTATGCCAAATGGCAGCATCTGTTAAATAATTTTACCAAGAAAGACAAGGTACTCTCTGGGAGTTTTTTATATAGAAAATTCCATCATCATCTGGAGCTTTCATATTATGAAACTTTTTAGTAATAGATCTTACTTCGTTCAAATCAGTCCCCCAGGAAGCATCAAAAATATTTTTCCGAGAGAAAATATTCAGATAATCCCGAGCAACCTGATTCTTAATAGGACTAGTAAGACACAAACTGAAATTATGGAAACTCTCGAATTGCTTAGCAAGTTTCTGAGCTTTTTCCAAATTTGTGATCAAAATTTTACCACCTTCTTTAAGCGCTGGAATAGGCTTATGAGGTTATTTCAAAAATTTTGTGAGTTTCCAAAAGGGTTTGGAACTCGGGTCTAATTTAGAAACATTATTTTCAAAAGTTTTGTTCCTCAGGGTAGAGAATCGCTTTTTAATTTGTTTTTGCAAATCCCGCAAGATAACTTTCATGGCAGGATCGCGTGATCTTTGATATTGTCTCCTACAGACATTTTTAAGACGGATCAAGAGCTGAAGATCGTCGTCTAATATAATTGAATCAAAGTTTCAAAAACTTTGGTTTCAAATGAAGAAAGAATTTTATGTTTGATTCGTCTATGAACAATGATGGCAACGCCACCACAGGATCCATTAAGACGATCATTTCTATAAATGAAATAATTTGCGTTCTTCTTAACCTTATGGTCAGCTGTAAGGAACGTTTCAGTTATAACGGCAATATGCACGTTATGAACCCTCAAAAAGTTAAATTACTCGTTTTCATTATCTTTAAGAGATCGAGCATTCCAATTTAAAATATATAATGCTTTAAAATCTATTACTGAATTTAAAAGTCATGACAATATTGTTTGCAAATTTTACTCCAGCTTGAATAGCATCAAACAAGGAGTTAGATTTAAGCATATCAGAAAGCATGTCAATTAATGATTTCTGTAAAAATTCCATTTTAGGGGCAGTAATGCTTACTAAGTCAAAATTGTCAAAATTTCCGTTAGAATTACGTTGGTAAGTATTTTGATTTCTACCCGGTGCAATAGCGGAATAGCGGGAAATTTTTCATCTATACCTACTCCCCTCGCTGCAAACAATGTTCAGCAAGTTAATGGAGCTACCTATGCTGACGGGTAGGCTCCAAGCAAGGATCGAAGAGAAATAAGAGTTGAACAAGGTAGAAATTTTACACGTGCTGTTTAAATTTGTTGTAGCTTTAGGTAGTAGTAACACTTCCTTCAGCAAAAAGCAAATAGATCCGCACGGCAAGAGACTTTAGTTCTGATGTTAGGCTTGTTAATACCATACTTAGGTAACCAGTTACGTTATTTTCATACCAGCAATTAGTATTTATAAGTTATTTTCTGCTGCTCGAGTAGGCACTTCTTATAGTTATTTTCTATGCGGGAACAGGAAAGTTTAATAATATAAATATTATATAACCAAATGACTTTTGATCTTGTAAAATACAGCAGATTAATCCAGATTCATATCCTTACCCTAAATAGGTGAACTACCATGGATTCTGATGGTTCTCAAATCTACAATAGTGTTGGGTACTGATAAATTTCAGCAAGTTGGATCCGCCTCACTGATTACCTCAAATGTGGCACTCACAGCCGCCCACATTTTGGCCGATATTGACCGTGATGCACTAATTGTTCGGGCTGGTGAATGGGACTCACAGAAGGATAACGAAATATTTCCAGTAGAGGTACAGTTTAGTAACTTCTAGTACGGCATGCTTAGATTTTACTATATTTTTTCAATTTCATTAGGAGCGGAAAGTGAAACGAGTTATAATACACGAAGGATACGATTCTCAGTATAACAACAACATAGCTTTACTGATATTCAACAAACCTCTGGAACTGCACAAGCACATTCAACCAATCTGTTTACCGTCACCAACAGTTCAATACGATCGTGAATCTTGCTTAACGAGTGGATGGGGCAAAAAGAATTATGACGACAAGCAACATATGCACCTTATGAAAAGAGTCGAACTTCCGATGGTAGATCATGACAAATGTGAACGAGCCTTTAAATCTACCCGATTGGGCCCAAAGTTCTCACTGCACAAAAGTTACGTTTGTGCTGGAGGTGAAGAAGGAGTAGACACCTGCACTGGAGACGGAGGTTCTCCATTGATGTGCCCTGGGCCGGACAACTTATACTATCAAATCGGTATTGTTGCTTGGGGCATAGGTTGTGGTCAGAAGGACATTCCAGGAGCGTATACAAATGTGGTCATGTTCGCCGATTGGATTCACAAAAACGTAGAAGCAGTAGAATGATTATATGTAGTGTTTTTTAATAATTTATAACTATAATTTATCCTTCAAGGTTCAATTGCGTTAGCTTTGTGGAGCCATAATTCAACGTTTATTAACAATACAAACTATTTTTTACAGTATGTTTTTATTTATTTTTTGAAAACATTTCTAATTTTGCTATTTCAAAACATCCATAATTAGGGTTACTTTCATTCATTTCGCATAAAACAATGTTTTGTGGGATTATGGTTGCATAAGATATCATGAAAATGTTTTGTATTTGTATTGTTACTTGAGAAAGAGAATGTGAAGATTGTATTTGACATATAAAACCTTTCAGAAAACGACTGATAAATGACATAGGGGAAATGACGGCTTCGGCATGACAGACTATTTTCGGCAACCCAAATTGAAACACTATTTTCACTGGATTTTCTTACGAAAACACTTCGCTGAATGCATGCAAACGATTCTTTATGCTTTCAGCTTCAATTTGACTATATTTTTACCACTGAGAAAAAGCAATCTAGCAGGGTTTTCTTGAAATGAAACACACGCTCTACAAATTGTAGCTGATTTCGAGTTGCAGATTTACATGCAGTTCAAATGGAACGGTTGCCGAAGAAAAACTGGTTGCCGACAATACTCGCTCTCACTAGAGAAGATTGGAGCTTTTCAAAACAGTTTTTGACATTTTTTTTCGACTGAAATTGTTAGAGCAGCTGGCAGCAAAAGATTGTAAACAAACCAATACTGCATATGTGTGCATTCCATAGAGAAAAAGGCTATAGAAAGAAGGTCGCTGCTTAGGTTGCCGAGATTACGTAAATTCCCCTAGCTAATTTTTTTCTAATGCGATACAAGTGCAAACAAAAAATCCTGAATTGATGCAAATTTGTGCAGGTTTGTATGCATTATATTAGGCCGCAATTAAACTAAAAAAAAACGAATGCATGTTTAGTTTATTAGAAGTTTCCGAAGCATACAGTTCAATTAATCAAATTTAACTTTAGGTTTTCTTTGACCACCCTTTTGGACGGTTTTCCACAGCTTTGTAAGTGACTAAGGCATATTTTCGGTTTTTATTTGATAATTGCATTATTTGTTCAGGCTCAATCGAATAAACCAAGTTATCATTTGCGTTAATGTCTTAAATCTAAAGTTAAAGGAATTGAGCTGAATACTCGCGGTCTTGTCGAGTTTAGTTGATGACAATTTTTTGGATGGGGAGAGGGTGAAGGAGATTTTCAATATGATTTATGATACAAACCTTTCAATATTTCTAAAAAATATTAAATTAATCCTATTCAACTTTATATCAGTTCTGTAATGGTACAATTATTACAGAAACAAATATACAAACACACACACAAACAAAATACAAACATAAGGTTAATCAAACTACAAGGTTTGATTAAAACTCTTCAAGAAAACATATATGAGTCGCATAAACTTCAGATCGCGTCTAGTCAAAATATTCCGAACTAGAACATTAGGTTGTCTACCTCGCGCCCGAAGAGAACCATACACCTCTGATCTGACTCCACGGTGCTCAGCACAATACCAAATAATATGATCTACGTCCTGGTAAACTTGTCCACATTCGCAGAAATTTCTGTCACCCAGCCCAACATGGAACAATTGAGCACATAGCGAATAGTGATTAGACATGAGGCACATGAATGAAGTCTCGATTCACCTTCAACCCTTTTAACCAAGGATACTTCGACACCTTGGGGATGATCGAATATAGTCATCGTCTCAAACTCCCTTCACTCCATTTATTCTGCCAGCTGACGAGTGACTGTGACGGTAAATGAAGAAAAATTTGTTGTAGGCTATTTGTCGATCGTAAATATCGCCTTCCATAGCACCCACCTTTGCAAACGAGTCCGCCTTCTCATTGCCCGGAATCGAGCAATGAGATGGGACCCATGCAAAGGTGATGGCAAAAGATCTTAAAGATAAAGCGCTTAGAAGCTCTTTAGCAAATATGAGGAGTGCTTTACCGGTCTCATGGAGCGAATAGCTTCTATTGAACTGAGATTATCCGTAAAAATTGAATAGTCAGCCGATGGAAGCGACAGCTCAGTAACATATACGGAACGAGGTGCTTGAAGAATTCGAGAGGCGCTCTATTAGTGATCCATATGTGAAGAACAATCTTGCGGAATCAACTTGGCCAAACTTTGCAGCGAAAATAGACGAAGCAATCATGGAATGATGATGCTCTAGGATCCCGCGACATTTTTTTTTACCTTTGTGTTGCTGAGAAAGTAGTCAAATGCGATCCGTCCTTTAGTTTGCTTTCGAGAAACTTTAAGGCTGCAATTTATTTGAACATTAGGTTATGATTTTACAGAGTTAAATAGGCTACTTACAAAACGGTTCTCTTTCGTATCCTAACCTAACTTTCTTCCCTGCAATAACCCGAAATTGTGGGTACCTTATTCTAGTAAATAAAAGTAATTAGGATTAACGAAAACATTTGGAATGGTTTCTCTTACTTGAACAACTCTCGATCTTACATTCAATTATTCGAGTTCAGAACTAACTTCCTGATTTGAGATATAATCGCGCAAAATGAAATTCTAAATTGTGAACACGTTTGTTTCCTTCGTTTCAACTCACTCTCTCTTTTTTGACACCTCTTCGATCGTGCAGCGCTCCCAGTTACACCTCTCCGTTGCCCAATCGAGGGGCTTTCTCAACATACCCAGCCCCGTGTTGCTGGGAACCACGATCATCTTCTTTGCTCTGAGCCTTCCTGACATCCAGTAATGCAAGCTTCGTTACGGGCCTCTTCTTAATGCCAGTACTGGTCTGGACCATCGCCGACCGCACATGACCATCCGATCCTGGGTAGATCTCGGTAATAACTCCACGCTCCCAATGATTCCGTGCTGACTCCTTAATGACAATAACCAAGTCATTGACTTCCAAGGGTTTGGTCGGTTAAAACCATTTCACTTGTCTCCTCAAAACTGGAAGATACTATCTAACCCAGCGACACCAGAACTCGTCGGCCAAGTGCTGAGTAAGTTTCCAGCTGTCCCTCAATGTTTGACAAGGTGCCACAAACTCCGTGCTTGGTTGAGTAACCCCTCTATTTCCGTACAACAAGAAGTGGTTCGGGGTTAATGCTTCATCTGTGGCCACGTCCAAGGGCACGTATGTGAGGGGTCGTGTGTTCACGATGCTTCTAGTACGACTGTCTCCAAAGTTTCATCGTCGGGATGGCGTGGTGCTCCTGCTACAGCTGCCATTGCAACTTTCACGGAGCGAACCATTCGCTCCCACACGCCACCCATGTGAGGAGCTGCGGGAGGGTTAAACAACCACTTGGTTCTCGCATTTGTAAAAACGCTCGCACATCCTCCGTTGATTTCCCTCAGCTGTTCCATCAATTGTCGGTTGGCTCCGATAAAGCACGTTCCGTTGTCGGAATATATCTCGTCTGGGGCCCCTCTTCTGACCACAAATCTTCTGATAGCCTTGATGCATGAGGAGGTGTTCAGCGAATGGACCACTTCCAAGTGGACTGCACGTATTGTCAGACAAGTAAAAAGTGCAATCCACCGTTTGACCAAGCTGCGTCCTACCTTGACGAGTATAGGACCAAAATAATCCAGTCCGGTGTAGGTGAACGGCCTGATGAACGGCGTCAGTCTCACTTTAGACAGAGGTCCCATTACTGGAGGTTGAGCTGATGCTTTGCGGATCCGGCAGAACTGGCAGTCCTTGCTCACTCGTTGTACCACTGCCCTGTGCTTCGGAATCCAAAAGCGTTGGCGCACCTCGTTTACAACCGTTTCACGATTGCTGTGAAGATAACGTCGATGGTACCTGTCGATTAACAGAAGCGCTACGGGGTGATCCTTAGGGAGAAGAATGGTATATTTAGCTTCGTAGGGGATTTGAGGTGCAGCCCCTATACGACCTCTAATCCTCATCACTCCGTTCTCATCCAGAAATACCGCGAGATTGTATAGAGGACTGCACCTCGATAGCTTTTCTCGGTAGGTCTTTAAGTCAGAACCACATTTCTCCAACAAGGAGTATTCGTCGGGATAAACTTGTCGTTGGGCGACCTGCCACAAGTAGTTTTCGGCTCGTTGAAAATCATGTTGTCCTATCGCAGCAAATGTTGGCTTGCTTTCTGCTCCATCTTTTTTGCATCTTTGAATGAACAAGTGTACGTGTATGCAACTGTCCGTAGAAGACGATTCCAGTTAGAGAATCGGTCGAAACGTATTACTGGTTCCCACTTTTGGTGCAAATGTACTATCTTCAGCAATTCTTCGGTGGTTAGTTCAGGAACATTGTGTGTCCATTCACTTTCTGGTTCACGCAGAAATTCTGGTCCGGTGTACCAGCGACTATTAGCTTCAAAACTCGATTCACAAGATCATTTGGTAGCATCGTCTGCTGCGTTTGATTTCGATGGTATGTATCGCCACTCTGAAACGTCCGTGTGTGTCAGTATCTCGCCGACTCGAACTCCAACGTACTGATGATAGCGACGACCGTCTGACTTCAGCCATGCCAAAACCGTCGTACTGTCCGACCAGAAGACTCGTCGTGTTATAGGTAGCGAGATTATCTCGCAGACGTTCGTCGCCAGGTGAGCTCCAATGAGAGCGGCTTGTAATTCCAGCCTAAGTATACTGAGTGGCTTTAAAGGCGCAACTTTGCTCTTGGTTGTTACCAGAGAACATTTTACCTCATCACCTACATAAGAGGTACCGGATGTACACGACGCAAGCATAAGCCGACTTGCGCGCATCAACGACGGTGTGCAGTTCGACCTTCGTGACGGGTTGATTAATTTTTTCCGGAAACATGCATCGGGGAACTGCCACCTTTCCTAATTCACCAAGTGCTCGACTCCATCTCTGCCAATCAACGAACAAGTCCTGGTTTATGTGTTCATCCCATCCCGTTCCAGTTCTCCAAATTTCTTGAATTAGAATTTTCCCATGTACCGTGAAAAAGGAAATGAGTCCTAATGGATCGAAAAC